CCAGACTCTCATGAGACCTCGGGCCACAGTGACATATGGGACCAGGAAATACATTTGCAGTGATGAACCATTGGAAATAAACCGCTGGAAAAAGACACAAACAAAACCCCCACTTTTCTGCTAGGTCAGTTTTATTTTTGAAGCTTCCAAAACATTTTTCTTGCAAATTACACAAAATGTACATCATCAATCTTTTGCTTACAGAGATAAAAAAAAAGTTTAAGCACCACAAATGATGGAGAAATAATTTTTTTAAAGCTACATAGGATCACCCATAACCATTACAAATAATGGCTTGCACCACACACGCATGTTTATGCTTTACAAATTCTGGCACATTCTTCGTGTGGTTTTATTATGGGCTCAGTTGCCAAATATCCTCTTTTAATTGAGTTAAATTCACAATTTTTACACAGTACATAGTTCCAGTTGGTCTTTATAGCAAGTGTTTTGTGAAAAAGCAACTGTTTGCAGAGGTACTAGCAAGTGAGTATGGAGAATTTTGTTAAAATACACGTATATTGGGGCGCCTGGGTGGCGCAGTCGGTTAAGCGTCTGACTTCAGCCAGGTCACAATCTCGCGGTCCGTGAGTTCAAGCCCCGCGTCAGGCTCTGGGCTGATGGCTCAGAGCCTGGAGCCTGTTTCCGATTCTGTGTCTCCCTTTCTCTCTGCCCCTCCCCCGTTCATGCTCTGTCTCTCTGTCCCAAAAAAAAAAAAAAAAAAAAAAATACACCTATATTGAGGGGCGCCTGGGTGGCCCAGTTGGTTAGGCGTCCGACTTTGGCTCAGGTCATGATCTCACGGTTCCTGAGTTCGAGCCCCGCATCGGGCTGTGTGCTGACAGCACAGAGCCTGGAACCTGCCTTTGGATGCTGTGTCTCCTTCTCTCTCTGCCCCTTCCCCGCTTGCGCCCGGTCTCTCTCTCAAAAATAAATAAACATTCAAAAATTAAAAAAAAAAACAACCACACTCATGTTGAATAACCAAGAATGGAGAACATCACGTAGATTAAATTGCAGATGGCACAATGTAGCTCGTTTCTATGAACGCATTACACCCGACAAACACAATCACGGGGAATGCTATCGAGGAAACAAATGGGATGAGGGCAAATGCATTCACCGCCTTCACCCCCAACACCCCCCAATCTGGGTTTGCCACCAGCTCCTTTGCTGATACTGGGCACTATGGAAGCCGAGTACCTAGGAAGCTCAAGGCACCGTTTACCTTTGGGAAAATAGGAGAGCACATGGAAAGAGAAAGTAAACAGGTGGACTGAGCTGCCTGCCAATCTCAGAAGGTGAGTTCCTGACCCAGACTTCATTTCATCTTGGGCTTATTGGTTTGGTTGGTTTTTTTTTTTTTCATTCATTCAGGCAAAATGTGCCCAGATCCAAACCCTTTTTTTTTTTTTTTCTTTTAATGTCTTTATTTCTACGTAGGACCATTAGGCCTGTCCCTCCTCCACTGTTCCTTGTCCCCGGGACTGGTGACACCCTTCACCCAGCTCAGCCTGGAAATCCTGGGGTCACTCTGACTGTCCTCTTTCGCGCTCCCCACCTTGCGATGAGATTATCCTGGATTAACAGGGTAGGGCCTAAATGCAACCACGAGGGTCCTTATAAGAAGGAAGCAAAGAGAGTTGACTACAGAAAAGACTGAGATGGTTTTGAGGATGGAGGGACCCTGGGCCCAGGGATGTAAGGAACACGACCCCCGAAGCTGGAACAGGCAAGGAAAAGGAGTCTCCCTTCGAACATCCAGAGGGAGGTCAGCTTTGCCAACACCTTGACTTCCGCCCTGTGAAACTCATTTTGCTCTCTGGCCTCCAGAAAGAACCGAAAGAGAATGAATGTGGATTAAGCCATCAAGTGTGTGGTAATCTGCTACAGCAACAGTAGGAAGCTAATACCCCCTCTGACTTAGAATGCAATTTAGGGGCGCCTGCGCGGCTCAGTCAGTTAAGCACCTGACTCTTCGACTCAGGTCATCATCTCGTGGTGCGTGAGTTCAAGCCCCGCATGGGGCTCTGAACTGACAGAATGGGGCCCGCTTGGGATTCTCTCTCCCTTTCTCTCTGCCCCTCCCCTGCCTCGCACTCTCTCTCTCTCTTAAAGTAAATAAATAAACTTTAAAAATACATACACACATACGTACATATATATGTATAATGCAATTTAAAATCCTTACCTGGCTCTGAGACCTCCTCACGTACTCTCTCTCCCTGGCGCGACCCCGTCCAGCTACACCAACATCCGAACACTCCCTCGTGTTCAAGTTTGCCAAAGATAATGCTTCCGTGCAGTTCCCAGCAAAAATGCTGACAGAGGCATGGATGGCAAATTTCAGGCCTTCCCCGTGGGCCCCGAATACTAGAAATACTGAGTTTCTTCCGGGGGAGGAAAGTTCCCCACGGACGGAGGGTGTCAGACCCCCAGGGCGTGAGATGACCCCTATTGCCCCAGCCTGGTGATGCCAGGTGGGCGAGGCAGCAGGTGGACCACCGAGCCAGCTTTGGAAATCCTGAATCACCAAAAAAATTCAGAGTGCTTTCTGGAAATACAGTTTCCTCCCCAGGGAGCAGGTCATTTGAATCTTGCCTGGGAGTCACGCCTGGGATGCTCCGAACGAGGATAGCGGTTTTCAGTGAGGCAGAAGCAAGTGACCGACAGATGGCCCTAAGGGCTCAAGTTTGGGGGACATTCCCACTCCTAATGTTCAGTCTTGGGTGCTTGCAGCAGAGAACCCAAGTCACTTGAAGCAAGGGTCTGGGTGGGTTGGGTGGGGAGCTCTACAAGGCCACACGGACAGATCCCTGGCAGAGACACGGGCTGGGAGAGAGGAGGCCTCAGGCATACGCGCTGCCTGCCCCCTCCCAGTGCCACGGCCCCGATGATCGAGGACAGATGACTGGGAGAAGGCTGAGGATCTAGGAAGCTGAGCCTGGGCCTGGGGGACGCCCCTGAGCTGCAGCCTCCGGTGCCTGCCCGCCGGCCAAGCCAGCAGCGCCCCCTGCTGCCCGAACTGAGCCGCACACATTCAGAGAGCAGGAAGAGGAACCGGAAGTTCTCAGCGGGGCTCCGGAAGGGGAGGCAGAGAGAGGGACGTGGGCTGGTCGTGGGGGGAGGTGAGAGAGGTCCACAGCGGGGGGTCCCTGGTCTGAAGAGCTAGTCCCATTATCCCCAGCCACCAGAGAGTTCCCTGGGCTTAACTGGGCTGAGGCGTGTGTCCCAGGGTTGGACAGTGAAGCTGTGTGGGGGTCGAGGGGGTGTGGTTAGGGCAGCACGGTCAAAATGGCCCCCAAGATTCCCAACCCTGCTCCCGGTGAACAGGACCTGAGGGGATATCACCCCCCATGATTATATTACTTTATGTGGCAAAAGGGATTTTGCGTATAGAACTCAGTGCCCTACTCACTGACTGGGTTAATCAAAAGGAAAATTGTCCTGGGTGGGCCTGGCCTAATCAGGGGAGCCCTTAAAGTTGAAAAGAAGCCGCAGCAAGGCGCTCCTGCTAGCAGGAAGAGGTGAGCTGCCCGGTTGTGAGAGGAGGACCAGGTGACAAGGACCCTCACAGGGCAGCTTCTAGAAGCTGGGAGCTGTCCCTGGCCAGCAGCCAGTAAGAAAAAGAAGACCTTGGTCCTAAAACTGCGAGGAAATGAATTCTGCTAACAACTGCATGAGTGTGGAAAGGGGCCCTGAGCACAGGTAAGACCCTGGCTCTGCTTAGCACCTTGATTTCATGGTGGTCTCACCTAGGGAGAGACCCTAAGCAGAGACCCCAGCCAACCCACACCGGGACGCCCGACCCACAGAAACTGCGAGGTGATCAATGTGTCTTGTTTTAGACTTCTGTGTTGTTGGTAATTAGTTGTGCAGCAGTAGGGTGTAAGGTGTCACCTCAGAGGGGGCGTGTGACCTCTTCATTGAGGCCAGGCTCACGTGGCCAGAAGGCCAGCACCCCTCTTGGGAGGCCATTGGGCTCTTGGGAGCCATCAACCCCAAACAGACCTGAGCCGTCCTCAAACTATCCCCGTACTGCATGCCACAATTTAACTTTTTTTTAAACATTTATTTATTTTTGAGAAAGAGGGAGAGAGAGAGTGCACGGAGGAGGGGCAGACAGAGAGAGACATAGAATCCAAAGTGGGCTCCAGACTCTGAGCTGTCAGCGCAGAGCCCGAGATGGGGCTCGAACTCATGAACCGTGAGATCATAGCCTGAGCTGAAGTTGGACACTTAACTGAGCCACCCAGACGCCCCAGGCCATGACTATTTAAACATTGATTTCTTGCCTCTCTCTTTTTTTTGGGGGGGGGGGGGGCGGAAGGGAGAGAGCGTGAAGGAGAGGGACAGAGGGAGAGAGACAGAATTTCAAGCGGGTTCCATGCTCAGCATGGAGCCCGGTGTAGGGCTCGATGCCATGACCCTGGGATCGTGACCTGAGCCAAAAATCAAGAGTTGGATGCTCAACTGACTGAGCCAAACGCGTGCTTCTCTGGCCTCTTTTGTAATGAATACGTTTACAAAAATATTTTAGTAAGCTCTTTCCTAAGCAGTTCTGCGAAAAGATACAGCTATGCGTGCGCGGTAGGTTTCATTTCTGGTTTTGTTTATTTTTTTATTTTTTGAGGGAGAGCAAGCCATGGAGGAGCAGAGAGAGACAGAGACAGAAAAATCCCAAGCAGGGTCCACACCATCAGCACAGAGGCCGACGCGAGGCTTGAACTCACGAACCGTGAGATTGTGACCTGAGCTAAAGACAGGAGTCAGAGGCTTTAACCGACTGAGCCACCCAAGTGCCCTTCATTTTAGTTTTTGGTTTAAAGGGTTCAGTACCGGGGCGCCTGGGTGGCTCAGTCGGTTAAGTGTCCGACTTTGGCTCAGGTCATGATCTCAAGGTCCGTGAGTTCAAGCCCCGCGTCAGGCTCTGTGCTGACAGCTCGGAGCCTGGAGCCTGTTTCAGGTCCTGTGCCTCCCTCTCTTTCTGCCCCTCCCCTGTTCATGCTCTGTCTCTCTCTGTCTCAAAAATAAATAAACGTTAAAAAAAATTTTTTTAAATAAAGGGTTCAGTACTCTGAGTATAAAGCAGTTTTGTGAAATGTGCAAAATAAAGTTGCGGTGATTTTCAAACTCGGGCTTCCCGTGATTGTCTGAGCTACTGGGAGAATAGGAGCACGGAGAATACGGGACTCAGACCATTGCAGTGGTGCAATTTGGCGTTTAATGCTCCTTCGGAAGGTATTTATTGAGCATCCAGATGTGCCAGGCACTGTTGGAGGAGCTGGAGAAGGAGGGATGAGAAGGACGGACATGGTGCCCAGTCTCACAGAGCTTGGCCAGACGAACTGGACGGTAAGATCTAAACAAATAATCTCAGGCGAGCAATGCTGTGGAAAAGGTAAACAGCATTTGCATTTTATGTTGCAGCTGGTAACAAATTATCACACACTTTGTGCCCTGGGACAAGGCAGATTTATGGTCTTACAGTCCTGGAAGTCAGAAGTCTAAAATCAAGGTGTCGGTGTTCCTTCCGGAGGCTCTGGGAGAATCTGTTTCCTTTCCTTTTTCTGCTTCCCGGACTGGGGGCATTCCTTAGCTCCGGGCCCCTTTCCAGAAGTGTCCCTACCCTGGCTTGGGTCATCTGTTTTAATCACCTTGCCGTCCCCACCCCAGTGGTGAGGGAGGGGTTCCTGCCCCAGGGATGGTGGGGGAGGACGACACTGGACAGACGAGACCAACAAGCAGGCTCTCCGCCTCATTCCCTCGCAGTCAGAGGTTGGGGGACGCTGCAGGCCACGCAGGGGCCCCACGAGGGTCACACTCAGGACCAGAGTGAACAAACCGGGCTGTGAGAGGCGGGCTCTATAGCAGCAAGAGGGTGAGGTGGCCCGGGTCCCACGGGAGGGTGTGACGGGCTTGTGTGGAGAATTCCACGAGCCGGGCGGGAACTGGAACCCCGCGCTCAGGGGTCAGCAGGCCCCGAGCTTCTGTGTGACGAGGAGGGGTGTTTGGCTGGGGGACCTTCTCCACAGGAGCCGAGTGGGGAGAGGAACCTGCGAGGAGACCACTGACAGCCTCCCACGGCACCCGGGGTCAGGGCAGCACAGGATACTGATTCTTTTTTTTATGTCTTACACAGCATTGTCATATTTCCTCCTATGGGCAGGACGTGGATGAAGCAAAATTTCATCCCTTGTTTGACTCCAGAGCTGATGCTCTAACCACCAGGCCACACAGCCTCTCCAGCACTGGGGGTTGTGGCGGCCTGTGTGCAAAGATGGCCGCCAAGGACTCACATCTGCCAGCTCACTTGTTCTGGCGACCTGCGCTCCCACACTGAGTCTGAGTTGGCCCTAAGCCTCAGTTTCACCAAGAGAACGTGGTGACAGGGACACCACCCTTGTTCCGAAGGGGCCTAAGAGGGCCCGGCAGCTTCCCCTCGTGTCGCCTTGGCAGCGAGCTGCTGTGTAGAGTCCAACTGCTTCCTGTGGAGCGAGTCCACACAGAGAGGCCCTGGGGCATGAGACCCCTCCTTCGCGGGGGGGGGGGGGGGGGGAAGGCCACAGGAAGGACCACCAAGTTCTCGGCCATGCAAGCGAAGAAGCCACCATGGAGTGTTCTGGCAAAATAGAGCTCCCAGAAGCTGTAGCCCCAGCCCACCTCGCGAGGTGGAGAAAATGGCAGCTGAAGCTAGTCAGTCCGCGGCGTAAGGGGGGGTAGTGTGAGAGAATACGGTCGTGGTTGTTGAAGCCACTTTTGGGGTGATTTGTTACTCCAACAGGTAATTAACCCCCTGGTTTAAATCTTACCTAAATCCGCTCCATTAGCAAAGCGTCAACACTTCAAACAAGTGCTATGGTGAAGAAAATGACCCCAGTCTCTCTGTGTGTGGGAACACTAGGGTGAGTATGCTTAACAGATTCACAAAAAGGGAAGAAAGATCTCTCGTTGTATCGCATTTCTTACCATGTATATTCACGTCCGTGGATTTTTGGTTGTTGTGTGTTTTTTTTTTTTTTTTTTTTTTTTTTTTATGAAGCTGTCTATTGGCTGCTCCCTCACTCTTCGCCTCGTCCATGCTTTAAAAAACATATTCTGTCAAAATGTCAGCTTGGTCACTCTGAAAGCTTCCGAGAGACTTCCTTCATAGATGTTCTTCCAGAAACGCCGAAAGCGTGAGTGGGACAGATTAGCCGACTTAGACCTGAGGTACTGTCTTAGACTCCAAAGAAAGGTGACGTACAACTCCAGGTAGTGGTGTCATCACGCATAGTGCCTGTTTGTAACGATATCTAAGAGTCAGAGTGGGTGTCTTTACATTTTTTCGGACGCATGCCAAGACTGCTAAGTCACCGGTAAGCCCTCCCGCCTCCTTTCTGGTTCATGATGCAATGGAGGTTTCGTTTTGCTTTGTTTTAATTAGTTGCTTTTTTTAAGGTGGTTTATTTATTTTGAGAGAGACAGAGAGAGCACAAGCAGGGGAGGGGCAGGGAGAGGGAGAGACAGAATCCCAAGCAGGCTCTGCAAAGCCCGACTTCAGGCTCGAAACCACGAACCGTGAGATCATGACCTGAGCCTAGATCAAGGGTCGGATGCTTAGCCCACTGAGTCACCCCAGAGCCCCAGTTTATTTTTTTAAATAAAATAAAAAGTTAGTTAACACACAGTGTACTATTAGTTAGTTAACTAATCACTAGTAACTAAAAGTTAGTTACTAAAAGTAACTAAAAGTTAACACACAGTGTACTATCGGTTTCAGGAGCAGAACTTGGGCGATTCGTCTCGTACATAGAACAGCCAGTGCTCATCCCCAACAAGTGCCTTTCTTACTACCCATCACCCAGTTAGCCCATCCCCCCACCTACCTCCCCTCCAGCAGCCCTCAATTTATTCTCTGTATTTAGGAGTCTCTTATGGTTTGCCTCCCTCTCTGTTTTTCTTATTTTTTTCCTTCTCTTCCCTTATGTTCATCTGTTCTGTTTCTTAAATGCTACATACGAGCGAAGTCATATATGGTATCTGTCTTTCTCTGACTTATTTTGCTTAGCATAATACACTCTAGTTCCACCCACATTGTTGCAAATGGCAAGATTTCGTTCTTTTTTGTTGCCAAGTAATATTCCATTGGACCTATACACCACATCTTCTTTGTCCATTCATCCATCGATGGACATTTAGGCTCTTTCCAGACTTTGGCTATTGTCGATAGTGCTGCTATAAACATCGGGGAGCATACGCCCCTTCGAATCAGCACTTTTTATCCTCTGGATAAATACCTAGTGGTGCAATTGCTGGGTCGTAGGAGAGTTCTATTTTTAATTTGTTGAGGAGCCTCCATACTGTTTCCCAGACAGGCTGCACCAGCTTGCATTCCTACCAACAGAGAAAAAGCGTTCCCCTTTCGCCTCAGCCTTGCCAATATCTGTCGTTTCCTGAGCTGTTAGTTTTCGGCATTCATTCTGACTAGTGTGAGGGGGTATCTCTTTGTGATTCTGGTTTGTCTTTCCCTGATGATGAGTGATGTTGAGCATCTTTTCATGTGCCTGCCGGCCATCGGGATGTCTGCTTTGGAAAAGTGTCTATTCACGTCTTTTGCCCGTTTCTTCACTGGATTATTTGGTTTTGGGGTGTTGAGTTTGATAAGTTCTTCACAGATTTTGGATAGTAGCCCTTTATCTGGTTTGTCACTGATGCAGTGGAGTTTGAAGCAAGGCATTGCATTAAACCAATTATGACCTGCTCAGAGCTTCCTCACCATCCTGGCTTAGATCTTCTTGGGGGCAAGGGAAGTCCTGGGATACTCCACCCCGAGGCCCTCATTTAAGAAAGATATTCAAGGCTGACACGCAGACGTGTGTTTGTTTCTGTCACCGTTAGAGATGAGCTTCTCTGACATCGGAGGGAAGTCTTCACGTGCCCGGGGGGCCCAGCCCCTTGTTCTCCACGACACTGCCCCCAGCCCTCTCCCAGGGACCCCACAATTGGATATTCTCCATGTTTCCACATCTCTGATGGGGACCCCTGCCCCTAGTGACTCAAGGCAGGGCGCTGGGAGGTGTCCTGTCTCCTTGTCCCCGCTTCATTCATTCAGGGCCCCCTCAGTTCTCACTTCGTTTTCAGCAAAGCCTCCCCCATCCACTCTCACATTCCTGCCAGAGTGAGCTTTCTTTTCTTTTTTGTTTTTAATTTTTTTTAATGTTTTTATTTATTTTTGAAGGAGAGAAAGAGACAGAGCATGAGCGGGGGAGGAGCAGAGAGGGAGGGAGACACAGGGTCCGAAGCAGGCTCCAGGCTCTGAGCTGTCAGCGCAGAGCCCGAGGCGGGGCTCGAACTCACGAACTGTGAGATCGTGACCTGAGCCAAAGCCGGACGCTCAACCGGCTGAGCCACCCAGGCACCCCCAGAGTGAGCTTTCTAACACATATTCCCCTTCACTTTCATGCCCAGACCAAACTCAATCTCCCGACACACCTTCTTCTACCCTGGGAATTCTTTCTCGCCAGCAGGCACCATGGGGCACCCATACTGCTCTGGTCCTGCCTCCCCTCCCTCTGTGTCTTCACCTGCAATGGTTTCTCTGATTTTCCAGCTTCTAGTCATTCTCCAGGACCCTTCTCAAGCGTCTTTTCCTTTGGGGACGCTTGTCTGATGTCCTCAAGTCGCGCTCAACTACTCTCTGTGTCCCCGCTCTGGGCTCCTGCAATCTGATGTGTCCCCAGCTCAGATCCAACCACCCCGAACTGGTGGCTGGCTCCCCTTCCAACCCCCAGCCGGTTTGCCAAGTGTTTCAATTTATTTGTCTCTGATTTGCTAGCACCCCACAGGAAGTTTGGAGAGAAGTAGTCATTCAATAAATACTCGTTGGCTGAACTGCTTACGAACCAACTTGATTCTTTTTTCTTCCATAAAGATACAGAGCCTCCCCCAACACTATTGAGCAGGCTGTGTCCGTGTGGCTGGTGGGACCTCAGGCAAAGCAGATGACAAAAATATCTTACAGGAGGTGTTTTCTTAACGGAGACCATGCATCCAACATGGAAACTCCAGCCTGGTTTTCCACAGGTGCTCCGGGGGCCGGGGGCGCTGGTTCTCATCTCCACAGCCTCTGGCTCTGCCCGTATTGTGTCCGTATCTGCCCTGTCTATCTGGCCAGTGGACTTGAGCTGAAGTAGGACATCACTGAGTGATGAGAAAACATTTCAAAGACATGATTAGTCGAGGCACCCTGCAGGTGTCTGAAAAGTTGTCCCGGTGGGATCTGCAGGGCCCAGCTTAAAAGAACTGGCACAGAGGGGACGTTGCTGAGCTACTGACCTTGACCTGCAATATGCAACAGCTGCAGCCTCTTGCTTCTGAATGCACAATTAACAGTTCATTCCTGAGCACTTTCCTGTAGGGACTGAGAACCAAATAATCCCCCGATGTAAGCCATTTGACATCCAAGTGCTTACACAACGCAACTGACAAAGATTATATGTTGAAATCATTGCCAAGCAATGTCTTTTTTTTTTTTTTTCTTAAAGAGAGAGCGCACAAGCAGGGGAGGGGGCAGAGAGAGAATCCCAAGCATGTTGTGTGGCACCGCACCTGATTTGGGACTTGATCCCGCGGCCCTGGGATCATGATCCGAGCCAAAATCAAGAGTCAGATGCTCCACCGACTGAGCCACCCAGGCATCCTAGCGACATCTTTTTCTTTTTTTTTTTAAATACTCTAACGAACTCCCCTCCCCGCCCCGCCCCCGTCCCCAGACTCCTCTGTCCTGTCTCACGAAGCAACTCCATATACTTGGGAATTTCCAGCAACTTGGAAGTGGGAATTGCACGTCCTGACAGGTGGCAGTGACTGGAGCAGACACCCCAAGCCGGGTCCTTCTTGGGGATCTTGTCCGAGCCCTCCCGAGATGGATTAGCCAGTGAGACTTTTGGCACCCACTTGATTGCACCTTTTTCAGGCGAAGTGAGGGATGGAGAAGTCTGCACCATGATGCTCCGTGACCTTCAGGACGCACGGTCAGAGCACTAACAGGAAGACACTGCACATTGCTCCGGAGGATTGTGGTGTCGCTTGGAGAACGTCTGTGTGCGACCCCGATGTCAAAGCATCCTGCCAGGGTAAGAGCAAGGCGCACTCGCCAGCGTGGGGGAGCCCAAGGCCTCGCGTGGCACCTGTTTGCATTTTTCCCACCAGCCTCTGCCTCCCTTTCTGCCACACCTCCCCGGTGGCAAAGTGTGCCTCCCTCGTTAATTTCCACAAGAAGTCCACAAGACGGGAAGAAGACTTTTGGCTTCATTTCGCTTTGTTTCTTCGTAAATGGTTTTGTTGACACGTAATTGCACACGATTCACCTGTTTAACGTGTACAGTTCAGGGCGTTGGGTGTATTCACACACGTGTGCAACCAGCACACCACCGTCTGTTTTAGAGGATTTTTGTCACCTCAAAAAAACCTCCGAACCCTTTAGCTATTATCCCCCAACCTTCCTCCAACCCCCCGCCCCAAACCCCACCCCCAACCTAGTCGTAAGCAACCATGAATCTACTTCCTGTTCCTGTAGATTTCCCCGTCCTGGGCTTTTGTGCGAATGGAATCCTAGAACATGTGATCTTTTCGTGACTGGTTCCTGTCACGCATCATGAACAGTTACGTGGTTCATCCACGTTGTATCACATATCAGCACTTCATTCCTTTGTACGATGGGATAATACTCTGTTGTATACTTTGGCACATTTTGTTTATCCATTAATTAGTTGAGGGGCATTTGGCTGTTGCCACTTTTCGGCTATTATGAATCATGCTGCTATGAATACTTGCATAAAAGTGTGTGGACACACTTTTGTTACTCTTGGGTCTATGCGTAGGAGCAGAATTGCTGGGTCATATGGTAACTCTATGTTTAATCATTTGAGGACTGGCCTGAGTGTCTCCCAAAGCAGCTGAACCATTTTGCACGCCCACCAGGAGTGTATGAGGGCTTGGATTTTCTCCACCTCCTCACCGATGCTTAGTGTGACCTGACTTTTTCAGTCTGGTCACCCAGTGGGTATGAAGTGACATCTCACTGTGGTGTGCGTTTCCTTTTCCCTGGGGCAAGTGATGTGAAGCATCCTTTCCTGTGCATGAGGGGCCACTCATTTTGGCTCGAGAGGCGGGGTTTCATCTTGCAGAACATTCCACCATCCCATTCTCCCTCCCCCTGCCGCCTCCTCTTCTGCCCTCCTGAATCCCACCCAACCCAAACACCCACTCAGATCCAGACTTTTCACTCCCCCCCCCCCCCCAAAGGCCCAATGCCAGTCAGCACGGCTCAGGGTCTGCCACAGTGGGCTTGCCTGACAAAGCCAAATCTTCTCACAGCAGCTGCTTAGATGAAGAGTTCTCTACCTTCTTCCCTCTGCGTAACTGGTATACAGCAGGGGCCTACTAGTGGATGGCCCTTTGCATTTACAGGTGTTTATATGGGTTCACTGCTTTGGAGTGCTACAAATTCACAAGGTGAGGAGCTCCTCCAAAAATTCAGCAGGAAGGAAAGGGTTTGGTGCCATATGTTGAAATTCCGGACCCCCAAACAGCCCACTTTTCCTAAAGATTTATTTCCCTTAAGGTGAAAACAGATGGTTTTCGAAGGAAGGGGGAGGCTCAGGAAGATGAGAAATTCACCCACACCTGGTGGTAAGCCATGATGAGCTTCGTATGGGAGCTCGGAAATTCTAGAAGAGGGGAAACTGCTGTGGCTTAATAAGGAATATCATGATCTCTGGTCGTGTGCCATTAGCAGCCTGGGTTGAATTCCAGTCTTAGGCGGTGCCCTGAGCATCAGTTTGCACTTACGTGTCAGTAGAGAACAGTCAACGGTGCACTCTTGCCAATGGATGGAGGGGCCAGTGGGCCAAGTTGTCACGCGGAGTCAGGTGAGGGAGTGTGGAAGGTTGGGGTTGGGTGAGGATGGGCTTCCCTGGTCAGAGCACAAGGTGAGCTCCATCCAGGTAAGCACCAGAGTATTAGGGTATTAGGAGTGACTAAAAGCAAGGACTCCAAGGTTAAGAGTGCACCACATAAAGGACAGGACACGTCCTGGCATGGAAAGACTAATCTGGGTTTTGGTCTCTACTCCTGGTTGGTGGAAAGAGATGAGAAACTAACAAGCTCAGTGACTTTCTCAAATAAGCAAACCACCCTTAGGCCAGCTTCTTCTTCACCTGCTGAATTCATTCACTCACCTCTGAACAGTTATTGGATACCAACTAGGTTCCCAAAGCAGGGCTAAATGCTGGAGAGAGAGAGATAAGGCAAAAATCCTTACAATCCAGCCAGGATTGACTGCGAGGGGAAGGGTTTGGCCTTTCGACCCAAGAGAGGCTCCTTTGGCTAAGGCGATGCTAATGTTGACTCTCATGAGAAGGACTCTGGCACAAAGATCAAAAAAGGAAAGGCACCTGAGATGGTTGGCCCAAACGGTAAATACACGTAGAAGTAGAGTGTTTGTCTCCTATGTCCCCAGTTCCCAGGCATCAGCATTCCTCCTCTTGAGGCTTGAGACTTCCAGGTCCACACCCATGGTTGGTGATGACACCAAGTTCAAAGCCCACCTTGAGATCTAGTGATCCTCCAGGGCTTTCAGAAGTGTGGGGTTGGTATGGAGCCCATTGTTTCTGGAGCCCCGAATGTAGCAGAGGTGTGTTAACCTCTTGACTAAAGGTTAACAGAGGCTGCCTTTCGTCTGCAGAAGCTCTGGACACTCGAGCTGCAGAGTGGGGACCTGCCAAGGATGAGATCATAGTTCACGGCGGGTTCTCATGTCTGGGTTTGTCCCTGGGACACTGGCACTGGCCTGACTACTTAAAGCTTTTACCAAGCCTTACACACCCCCACGCTTCTGTAATATTCCCATAAGCTTACCAACCACGCCTGTTGGACCCAGAGGTCACCCGCCCCAACCTGCCCTCAGGGGCCTGAGATGCTGTTCGTAGGCCCCGAAACCAGTAAGGTGATCTCATTTTCCTTCTCAGACCATTGAATGTCTACTTCTAGTACAAGTTCTACCTGGAGAACTGCTGTCATCCTCTGCCTGGAGCAGACTGCTTCTGAGTTGAAGAATGTGGGAGCCCTTTTTCCACGTTCTCTCTGAGCAGTAACTTATCACACGGATAGCCGTGACTTGCCCCATCCTACTCTCTGCTGTGACTCGTACATAATTCCCCTTCCGTGAGACTGGGGACGGCCTTCCTCTGATCAGCCCCTTTGTGTTTCTTGGACCGCCCAACTTCCACAGCAGTGCAGCTCCTTACCCGGGTTTTTACACGGGCTGGCCCCCCCCCCCCCCCTTTGCTGAAGCTGGGGACAGCAGTGATGGGCCAGAACAGGTCCTGCGGCTTTGGGTCCAGGGTCGGTGACTCTGGATGGATGTTCCCCAAAGGCTCCCCTCCGTCATCCACCCCAGAGCAGAAGTTGGCAGGCTGTTGAAGCACCTAATATTCTCTCTCTCTCTCTCTCTTTTTGAGAGAGAATGAGAGAGAATCTTAAGCAGGCTGCACCCCCAGCTCAGAGCCCAGTGCTGAGCCCAACTTGGAGCTCAGTCTCACTGATGAGGTTTTGGAGTCATGGGAATCCAGAGCCAATGGCCAAGAAAGTATTTTTGAGATGTCTTTGGTACAGGAAAGGTGATTTTTTTTTAGAGCACAGGGACAGGACCCGTGGGCAGAAAGAGTTATGAAGCGTGACTGGTTATATACTATGGAGCTGGGGGAGATACAGTCAAGAGGAAGTTTCTTAAAGGGATCTCCATATACCAAGGAGGCTCACAGATGACTGGAGGCCTAGCTATTGTCAAACTAAGGCTATTTTTCCCTCTAGCAAAGTATTAACGTTGAGACAGTAGGGAGTTCCTGGAGATGAAGCTATTGATGAGTTTGCCTTTTTCTTGTAATTTACCAGGGCGTTTGTAAATTGACTGAGACTCTATCAGTTTAACCATTTGTTTTCTGTCCTTTCCTTTGACGCGTCAACCTGCCTTATGCTCCTACCCCGTCATCACAACGGTGAGATCATGACCTGAGCTGAAATCAAGAGTCACCTGCTTAAACGACTGAGCCACCCAGGTGCCCCAAAGCAGCTAATTTTAGGGAACACTAATGTTAACCTACCTTTTGGATAAGTAGGAAGTTACGACTTGAAGCCGGGCACCTGGGCTAAGCTCCCAGAGAAACCGGCACACTGGCCACCGGCCACCTCAGTGTTCGTGTTTCAAAGAGGTGGCTCCAAGGCCCCCAAGAGAGACATTCCTGAGAAACAAAACTGGTAAGGGGCTTACTTCATTTTTTGAGAGACTTTCATGCGTCTCAAAGAGACAGCAAAGATTCTAAAGAAAACA